AGAAGCGTATCCTCATCGGTACCGCCCCCCCCCCCCCCCCTACCCTCCCAACCCCCCTACCCCTACCCCACCCCTCCTCCTCCTCCTCACCTCCTTCCGCTCTTCACACAGGTCGGTCTCGATGCAGCAGGCAAGACGACGGTGTTGTTCAAGCTCAAGCTGGGTGAGGTCATCACCACCATCCCTACCATCGGCTTCAACGTCGAGTCGGTCAAGTACAAGAACATCGAGTTTACGGTGTGGGACATCGGAGGCCAGGACAAGATCCGATCGCTGTGGAAGAGGTACACCGAGAACTCGCACGGTGTCATCTTTGTTGTCGACTCGAATGATACCGATCGCATGGACGAGGCAAAGTCCGAGCTCTTTACTCTCCTCGAGTCGCCAGAGCTTGCAGACGCTGTCGTCCTCGTCCTGGCAAACAAGCAGGATCTCCCGGGCGCCCTCGACCCGTCGGCTGTCACAGAACGCATGGGACTCTCCGAACTCCGCCATCGCTGGTACATCCAGGCCTGCTGCGGTGTCTCCGGCGATGGCCTCTACGAGGGCCTCGACTGGCTCTCCGATGCCCTGGGATAGACTTTGCTCCCTGCCCTTCAATGAACCGCGCCACCCCGTCGGCCGCTACTGTACCCGCGCCCACGCCGCAGCGCCATCCGGTACATCGGCGACAGTTGCTTGGCGCGCGCACGGAGCTCACCGACAAACGCGTCAGCCCCGGCCGCGTCTTCGCCCAAGTGCCCGAGCCGCACAAGCCTTTCCTGCACACGGCTGCCGTCCAGTAGCGACATGTCCAGCTCGTGCCCGTCAGTCTCGTACCCGATCGACACAATCTCGGCGATCTGCACCAGCCGTGCATCGGGCGCCCGCACACCGCACCCGACCCCAGCACCTCGCCGTCGAGCCAGAACCACTCATTACCAGAGCCGGCCACCCACTCGGGCCGACTGTGGCTCGTCCGTTCTTCCTCGTCGTCGTCGTCACTCTCACCTCCATCCTCGGGAACAAACGCAAACACGTCGCTGTGCTCGCCGCCTCTGCTCACCCGCGCGCCTGCGTCCGTGTACGTGCTCACGCTCGCACAATGCCGCGCAAACACCGATCGCAGACGCCGGCGTTCGCCGCCAGACACCCGATCACCAAACACCTCGACAGACTCGTGGAGCCACTCGTGCGATGCAGCAAGTGAGCTCGTGCTGGTCCCCAGCTCTTCAAACGCGGCCCGAAGCCAGGCCACGCACACCCGTCCAACCACTCCGTCACGCCCTACAGCAGCGAGCTCCGACAGCGTCCGCTCGAGTGCATCCAGAATGTTGCCCAGCACGTTGAGCACGGTGCCTGACGACAGCGGCTGTGCACCAAACGCACGCTTCGCAAGCCGCTGCACCTGGTCCACCGCCTCACCTGCGAGCTGCGAGCTCAGCGCCTCGATGCCGAGCGAGATGAACTCGAGCGACGCTTCCACATTCACAAGCATCTCCTCTAGTGACAGCTGCGTCGTAGGCCGGCAGCGCGATGGCATGCCTTCGGCCTCGCCCACACTCTCCCACGGCAGAAGCGACGACTCGGTCTCGCTGCTCGCTTCGCCTGCGTCGCTGCCAGCCCGAGTTCCATCGCTGCTGCCCACGCTCCGAACATGCATTCCGGTCTCGGTAGTACCACTTCCCGCGCCGCATTCGAGCACCTCGACTTCCAGCCACTCAGTCGCGCTCACGCCGGCCACCTCGGCCACAAACATCTCGGTTCGCCGCCACACCCGTCGTCGCACCAGTGCCTCGCCCATGATCTCAGACTCGAACGGCCCGACCCAGTCCCGTCCGTGCTCCCACCCGCCTACCTTCCAGTTCGTGCTCCACTCCCATCGCCCGGGTGCACTCGTCGGCGGCCGGCCCTCCTCGAGGTGCTCCACCCGCGCACGCACGTACGGGTTGTTGCCGAGCGCGAGCGCCGGTGGCTCGTGTGGAAGCCATGACGGGTAGAACGGCGATAGTGTCGTCTCACGCCGCTGATGCTCGACAAGCTGCACCTCGCGATACATGACTGATGACGCAGACTTGGCTGACCCCGCGGTTTCTGGACTCACAGTTGCAGCGAGCCCGCGTTCTCCTCCCCCCTCGGCCTGCGCAAGCGCTGCTGCCGCTGCCGCTGCCGACGCGTTGCCTGCAGACGCCTCCACCACCGCAAACACATCCGCCATCTCCTCGCGCACATGCACCAGGTTGTTGAACGCCACCGCAGCCGACACATGAACCGCAGGGGGTATCGACATCTCCGACGAGTCCTCGCTCGGAGGCTCGGCTTCACCCGCTGCCTCCTCGGCTTCGCCCGTCGCTTCAGCTCCGCATGCCACCTCAACCGTCGCTACCGGGCCGGCCTCGGCCTCAGCCTCGGCCTCGGCCTCGCCGCTGCTGCCCCACTTCAGCCATCTGACCTTGGTCGAGAGCTTGCGGTACGCCGCCTTGGCCGACGAGCTCGCCGCTGTCCCTGCAGACTTGGCGGCAGAGCTCGCAGACTTGGCTAGCGAACGCGATGAATCTGCCAGCGCTTTGGCTGACTTGAGCGACGCCGAGATCAGTGCCGGCGCAACCCCGGGCGCCTCCACAACCACCAGCTCACTCTCGTCAACCTCGAGCGACGATGCCAGCAGCGCGTCGGCGTACCGCTTCACCGCGGACGAGAGCGCAACACCAAGCGCCATCAGAACTGTCGGCGGTACGCCCGGCAGCCGCCGCACAAACTCAAAGCTATCCGCCAGCTGCGCAGGCAGGTTTGCGGCAGACACCGAGTACCGCGCATCGCTGGCCCCGCCCAGCGCCTCAAACGAGTCGTTCTCCACAAGCGTCGTTACGTACTCCCCCAGCGCCGCGCTTGCGTATGCCACATACTCGTAGAGCACCGGCGCAAAAAGCGCAGATCGGTAGCCTACGTCGGCAAACCAAGCATCGCTCGGTGCCTCCCACTCGTCAGCAAGCTCGCACATCCCAGCATAAACCTTGAGTACGCCCTTGACCCAGTGCCGCCCGGCGCCGCCCGCTCTCGCGCTCTCCAGCCGGATAAAAAGCAGCTGATTAACATCGAGCAAGAGCATCGACGCGTGTGTCGCCGCAAGCGTTGCCACTGGATCTGCCACAACCTCGTCAAACGCATACGCCGTGTAGTCGGCTGCAAATCGAAGTGCACCTGCAAGCTCGTGTACCGCCCGCAGGATCTTGCTCTCGTCCACGGGCGCAGGCACCAGCGCACGGTGGTGTGACACTGCTGCGCCCTTCAAGTACGCCCCCAGCTGCGCTGCCACCTCGTCCGATGCCCTTCCTAGCCGCTCCGCAATCTGCCGGTACGCCGCCACCGCCACTGCCACCGCGCCTACATCGGCGCCAAACACCTCGTGCATGCGCACAATCCAGTCTGAGAGTAGCTCCAAAAGCTCTTCAGTCTCCACCGCCTCGCGTTCGGCTTCGCTCGCCTCACCCTCGGCAGTGTATGCCGTCCAAAAAGCTCGGAACGCATGCGGTGCCGCACCAAGTCGCGCCGTCGCGGCCCGCAACACCGCGCTTCGCAGCTTACGCGCACTCACTCCGTGCAGGTACGCCAAGGGCGCCAGAATCGAGCTGTAAACCTGCGATGTCCGCGTCAAAACAGCCTGGACGTCATCGTGAGCAAACGCGCTCGCCGCTGCTTCGACCACTCCAAGTCCGTCCGGCACCACCACCATCGGTGCAGACGCCAGCAGCTCCGCTAGTTCGGCACGCGCAGGTTGCGGCACACTGTAGGCCCCACGCATTGCGCCGCCCATGTCAATGACCGAGCCTGCACTCGCGCCAGCCTCCTGTATACAGTTCAGAAACGCCCGCCACAGTGTCCGGTCGCCGCGCGGTGTGCTGCCGGGGAACTGGAGGTCAAACACCAGTGGCGACGACGGCGGCCGGCTCGGATCGAGGAGCTCGTGTGGACTCGTCGTCATTGAGCCGACAATCGCCACTCCTGGCGCATCGATCAGTGCCGACAGCTTGCACGGGTTGGGCGGAAGGCTCCGTGCAAAGCCCACAACCGCAATCAGCTCTTCGTCGGCTTGCGAGAGCATAAAGACCAGCTCGCGCTCGCTCGGTTGCGGCTCAAGCACATACTGCCGCTCGCCCACCGCCCGCGCAGGCACCACCACCGCCGCGCTCGCCGACGATGTGTACAGTGCCACAAAACCGGTAGCCGTTCAGCCTCTCCGGTCCGCCCGCAGCTGCCGCCGCCCGCAGCTGCCGACGCTGCCGACGACGCTGCCGACGACGCTGCCGACGACGACGACGGCAACGAAAACGCCGACAATAGCGCCGACTTGGCCGCAGACGCCGCAGATGCCAGCGGCTGGCTCTTGGTCACGGCCTTGACTACCGGCACTTGCGCCGGGAGCTCAAACACGCCGTCGGGCACAAGCTCCAGCCGCAGTGCCGCACCCGCAAACACCCCCATGGACAGTTCCAACGCCCGCAGCATATGATGCGCAGGTCCTTCCTCTTCCGCACCATCCACCTCGTCTTCGCCTTCGCCTTCAGCAAGCAGCGCAATGAGTATGTTGCGCAAGAGTGCGAGCGGCGATCCACGCGCGTCCAGCGCCTTCTCGGCTTCAGCCGGCGAGAGTTCAAAGGCATTGAGGATTCTTCGACCGATCTGCTGTGGGAGCGCCAGCAGGGCTCCCAGCGTCGACGCTGATGGCTGCTGTTGCTCGACATGGCTGCCACCCGGATCCTTCGACCTCGCCTTGGCCCTCATCCCGGCTGATCTGGGCTCGCGAGCAGACTGTCCATTCCCCACACCGTGATCAACCACCACCCAAGGGCTCTCCGTCTCGTCAGCCGACGCCCGGTGCCCAGCTCCGTCGCCGTCGCTCCTCCTCGACCGTCTGCCTGCTCCGCTCCTCGAGGAGGACCAGCCATGAGCCGGCGAGTAGAGCCCTGGGGGCGGAGCCACCACCTCGCGGTGCAGCACGCATGCTACACACGAGACAAAGGCCTCTGTCGCACCACTGGACATATTTCTCCTTCCTGCCGTGAGGTGGTGCGCCGTGGTTGCCTTTGCCGCATGGACAGGTCAAAGTGTGACCGTCGACACGCTGGCTTGGGTGATGGCACACGCAGACCGTTCGAGATCATCACACTCATGTACGACCGGTCGACATCGGCTCAACATCTGCTAAAAACAAAGTGTCATTTAGTAAAGTGATCAAGCCCGAGCTGCGACTCACAAATCGTCCATCTCCTTGTCGTTGCCGGCATCGTGGTGGACGTCGCCGATGGTGAACTGAAGCACAACGCACGCAACTGCAAAGCCTGCCACGAGCAGGCTGACAATGACGTATGGCGCCGCGCCCCACTCTTTCGCCTTCATCCCGAGGAAGCAGTTGATCATCGCAAGGAGCGTGAGCCCGCGGCCCACCCACCAGTGGATCTTGTCCGGGAACCACGGCGTCCCGCTCCGGTCCGGCGACCACATCAGGTTCGAGAGCTCGCCGAGAACAGGCTCCAGGAACGCTACAAGCACGACAGCAAGTCCGATGAGCATTTAGTAAAGTGATCAAGCCCGAGCTGCGACTCACAAATCGTCCATCTCCTTGTCGTTGCCGGCATCGTGGTGGACGTCGCCGATGGTGAACTGAAGCACAACGCACGCAACTGCAAAGCCTGCCACGAGCAGGCTGACAATGACGTATGGCGCCGCGCCCCACTCTTTCGCCTTCATCCCGAGGAAGCAGTTGATCATCGCAAGGAGCGTGAGCCCGCGGCCCACCCACCAGTGGATCTTGTCCGGGAACCACGGCGTCCCGCTCCGGTCCGGCGACCACATCAGGTTCGAGAGCTCGCCGAGAACAGGCTCCAGGAACGCTACAAGCACGACAGCAAGTCCGATGAGCTTGTGGCTCTTGTTCTCGCCCTTAAAGTCCTCGTTGGTGAACCAGATCGCCATCCCAAACGCCGCAAACGTCGCCAGCACCGCCATCCACTGTGTGAACCGGTGGACACGGAACCACCACACTCCGAGCTTGTCCTTGAGGAATCGCGCCACCACAATGCCCACAGGAATGAGCACCACCCACGAGATGATCATCATCCACGCGTGCGCCTTGATGAGCTTCTCGCGAAGGTCGTCCTTGGACACCTTGCCGGTGAAAAAGTTGATCTTGATCGCAGCCGTCGACGTCGTGGAGTGCTTGCTCACCCCCGACGTCGCCGACCCAGCTCCGCCGCCTGGCGTCGCGCTGTCGGAAATCGCCCAGACAATGTTGATGTCGGCGTCGTTGATGACTACATCGCCGTTGTCGCCAGTGTCGAGCGCCCGCACAAACTCGACCGTCATCACTCCACCAGTCTCTGACCCGCTCACGCCGAGCACGTCCTGCTTGGCATCCGCCGGCGGCGCCGACTTGCCGCTGGGATTCTGCCGATCCGAGACCACGTACCCGCCCGATGCTGCCGACGACGCAAACGCCACGTACGAGTCGCCCGGGCCCATGACTCCGGCGCTCTCGGTGAAACAGATGGCCACGTATCCGGCCGAGCCGGACTTGGAGAGCGCAAACGAGACCTGGTTGTTGACGGTGTCGACCTTGAATCGCATCGTGAACGGGCCGTCCGAAAAGGTAAATGCAGAGCTGAGGTCGATGGCCCCTGCCCCGCCGCCAGAAGTGGGTGGCGGCGGCGGCGAGGTAGGCGGCGGCGGTGGTGACGGCACGCACGGCGTCGAGGTCGTAAAGTCGATGTTCATCGCACCACGCGCCGTGTGGTAATCGCCGTTGGCCGGCGGATTCGAAGGATTAGTGTCCGAGTTGAATGCCCATGCCACAAGGTTGTTGCCCGCCACAATGTCGCGGTCCTGCCCGTCGCCGGTCACCAGATTGCGCGTGAACTTGGCCTGCAGCAGGCCGCCCGAGTTTTCAACCGTCACGCCGGTGTAGTCGTTCGTGGAATCGATCGAGACCACGCCCGATCCAGCTCCGCGGTACGTGTCAAGCACTCTCGGCGTCGTTCCGTCCAGATACGCAAACGCAAAGTCGCCGTTGGCCATCGACCTCGCGTTGGGAACAAGACCCATGCTCACCCAGCCAGCCGCCGCCGGGACCGAGACTCCGAGTGTGATGGATGTGTCGGATCCTGTGATCGGCTGCCAGGCAACCTTCATGCCATCCAATCCAACGTCCTGGCACGAGAATCCACTAAAGAACGGGGGCGGCGGAGGAGGCGGTGACGGCAGAGGTGGGGATGGCGACGGCGGCGGCGGCGCGGTGACCCCCGGTGGTGGTGACGGCGACGGAGGTGGCGGCGGCGGCGACGGAGGCGGAGGCGGCGGCGACGGAGGCGGTGGCGGCGACGGAGGCGGCGGCGGCGGCGGCGACGGAGGCGCAGGGCACGATGATGCCACCGAAAAGTCGAGGTTGAACCGCGCCCGCGCCGCATGTCCACCGTACGATCCAGTCGTCGTAGGTGTGCCACCAGTGCCCACCGCCACCACCACTGAGTTGATCCCGGTCGCCAACCACACGTTGTCGTTGCCGTCGCCCGTGTTGAGCACCCGATCAAACTCAGCCGTCAGCACTCCGCCCACATTCTTGACCGCCACAGCTGTGTTGTCGTTGGTGCCATCCGCCGTCGGTCGGATTGTCCCCGACGACATTCCGTCAACAACCGCCCCACCGCCGGTCATCATGCCGACCTGGGTGTCGATCCCGCTCATCAACGGGCTCCCGCCGACACCAAACCAACCCATCCGTCCACCTTGGCCTCCATTGCCATGCTGATCGACGTCGACGTGCCGGTCAGCGTGCTGTCCCGTCGGCCATTCACAGGAAAAGACCGTGCGCGTCGGCCATTCGCAGGAAAAGACCGTGCGCGAGTCAGGTTTCGGCCAGCCACAAGGTCGAGAGGGGGTGAGTGTGGACTGTGGAGGGGGGGGGGGAGGGGGGGAAGGGGGAGGGGGACGGGGGGAGGGGGGGGGGGGGGGGCAGGTGAGGGGAAAAGGCGGTGATGAGGAGCTGATCAGGCGCTGATCACGTACGTCCCCTCCACCCCGCACCCCCTTCCCCTCACCGTTTACCTCCTCCTGAACTGAACATGAACACAGCGAGGACAAAAGGCAAGGCCCACAACGTACTTCCAGTAGAGTTTGTACTCGAAACCCGTGCTCACTTCAGTCACCAGCCGGCATGAGCTGTACGTCCGTGTCGGAGTCCCTACGAAAGCGCGTTCCAAGGTAAGCACCAGCCGCCGCACCTCCCCCCCCCCCTCCACCCCTCCTCCCTCCCCCCCCCCCGTCCTCTCCCCTCACCCCTCCCCTGCACGTACCGCTCACCACCACCAGCACACACACCATCGCAGCCCCCAGAAGAAACAAGTTCATGGCCCCCAACCCGCAGCAATGCCGCATGGTCAAGTAGAGAAATGAAGACCGGAGCCGGAGCCACAAAGCCAAAGCCTGTGCCTACAATCTTTGGCTGGTCAGCCATCCCCCCCCCCCCCCCCCCTCCCCCCCTCCCCCTCTCTGCCTGTCACCGATTCTGTCTCGGTCCTCCTCTCCCTGCCCTCGCCCCGTGACAACCAATCTGTCTCGAGCCATGTCACACAGGGCTAACATCAGTCTCACACGTTACACACAACTCACTCCCAGCACTTGTCTCATCTGTAGACCAACGAAGGCCTCACATCGTGGTTCGCCTTGGTTGACGTTGACGTTAGTTACCTCCACGAGTGGGAGTCCGTGCTCTCGGATACAGGTGGGGAAGTGGAGAACGAGCTAATGGACGTTGTTGATGATGGCTGTGATGATGGAGTAGGGTCATCTGATTGTGGAATGGACAACCTTCCGCTGGAGCTGTTGCTGGCCGTCTTTGGCCTGCTAGACACGCCGTCGCTGCTGCAGGCACGGGCAGTGTGCAGGCGATGGAGGATGGTGGCTGAGGACTCGGTACTGTGGCGGACGCGAGTGGTGTTGAGAAGAACTGGAGAGAATTGGCGAGGCGATGGTGGCTCCATCGATGAAGAAGAGCCGTGTTGGGGCGATGCGGCGATGTCGGTGGTGGGAGGGCTCAGGGAGCAGTCGCTGCCGGGCGTGGCGACGCAGCGGGCCCGCTTTGCGCGCCTCGTGTGGATCTTGGAGCGCCAGTTTGCTGATGAGCACCAGCAACGGCGGCGGGATGCAATCAAGCTGAGATTGTCCATGCTGCGGCTTGCCGAGCTGGGCTATGTTGGAGTAGTGACGGCGGCTGGCACGCTGCTTGCGCCGCTGCTGGTGGACGGCGCGGTGGGGTGGCCGGCTCGGACGGCGCTTGTCCCGCTCGTCCTCTGGCTCCAAGCCATGGTGCCGCACATCGGCGTGAGCTCGATCGAATCTGCGGGCTGGGTTTGGATCCTACTGTGGGGCGCCGGAGCCTTGGCTGCGCTCTGCTGTCTCGCCGACGGCGTCTTGCCTGACATAGTCCCGCACCTGCTCGGCCTCGCTCTGCTGCCGTTGGCGATGGTGTGGCTGACAACAGCGGGAGGGCTGGCGTGGCGAGGGCTCACTGCGCGCGCCGCAGCAGTCGCCGATCGCTGCGAGTACCTTGTCCTTGCTGCACTGTCGACACTTCCTCTGGCGTCGCTTGCGGCTTGGTTCCAGGGCACGGCTACAGACGACGCGTCTCCGTGGAGCCGCCAGGCGCCGCTGCTTGTGGCGATCGCCGGCTCCCTCCTCCCGCGGTTCAGCATCCGCTGGCTTGGCTCGAGCATCGAGGGCGAGAGCCCGCTCTTCCTCCGCATCCACAGCGTCGGGCTCCCGTTCAGCCGGGAGGTGATGGCGCGGCTCCACGCGACGCTGGCCGACATTGAGGTCGTTGCCGTAGGCGCTGGCTGGTATGTCGTTTCGGGCACCGCTGTCGCCGCCACCACCTCGTCGTTCTTCTGGGTCATGACTGTCCCGTACATCATACTTGCCACCATCGTGCCCTCGCTCGCAGCCGTGGAGATCAGGCGGCACAAGTGGCTGTATCGTGGCATCCTCCGCGGCATCCTCCCATCTCGGATGGCCTCGCTCGGGGCGCGGCACAAGTATCTCTTATGCCAGCCACCACTTCGCGACTTTTCCGGAGAGTCTCTTGTGCTAAAGTAGCCAACTTGCATGGCCTCGGCCGTCCATGACTCGTCGATGACGGGCACCATCTCAGCAGCGATGCATGCGTCAAACTCGCAAGCCGATCATCCGACCGTCCGATCAGCAGCCGAGTCGATCAAGAGACTGTCACCCCTCCCCCCCCCCCCCCAGGCCGGCCGACCAGCCGAAGGGACGGACACCTCACCCACACCTCACGACTTACGAGCCACACGACCAACACCAGCCACAACACCGACGGCCAGAGCCAAGCCCTTACTAGCAGGTTTCTGTTCACACGTAACATACCAAAGAAATGCTCCGTGCTGCGGTTGCGGGAGCGAGCGCGGTTGCCGCGGCGGCGGGACGGGCGGTGAGCCGGTTGCCATCCACGGCTGTGGCAGGGACGGCGACAGTGGTGACGAGCCAGCGGTTTGCCAGCAGCGGAAAGGCAGCGCATGCGAGCGAGACTGGTGGCCAAGTTGAGCAAGACAAGGCGGGAGGGGATGGCGCTGGGATTCCAGCAGCAGAGTGGTCGGCTAGCTCGCGGAGAGTCGGCTTGGTCGGCGTCAAGCTCGGCATGCTGCCGTACTGGGACGAGTGGGGCAAGCGGCATCCGGCGACCGTGGTGCACTTTCCCGACAATGTGGTGGTCTCGGTGAAGGACGAGCCGGTCAAGGCAAAGATCAACCCCAAGGCCATGCCCAAGCCGACGTCGCGGCTGGTGGTGGCGGCGGCCAAGGCCAAGGACAAGCATGTCAACAAGCCGCAGCGGACCGTGTATGCAAAGGCTGGCCTCGAGCCGCGCCGCAAGATGGTCGAGTTTGCCGTCTCGGACGACGCGGTCCTCCCGGTCGGCACCGAGCTCTCTGCCGCGCATTTGCTGCCCGGCCAGTACGTCGATGTCCGCGGCGTGACTCGCGGCAAGGGCTTTGCCGGCGTCATGAAGCGCTACAACTTCAAGGGCCAGTCGGCCTCGCACGGTACCTCGGTTGCCCATCGGCATGGTGGCTCGACCGGTGGCTCGCAGGGGCCGGGCAAGGTGTGGAAGAACAAGAAGATGCCCGGGCGCATGGGCGGCAAGAACCGGACCTCGCAGTCGCTCAAGGTGCTCAAAGTTGTGCCCGAGGAGAACGTGGTTCTCATCCGCGGCTCGCTCCCTGGCCCGACCAAGGGCTGGCTCGTTGTCTCGGACGCCATCCGCAAGACCTTCCCCACCTCCCCGCCCTTCCCCACCGTCGACCCGGCGACCGCCGCCGCTGCCACCGAGGCCGACGCCCCGGTTGGCGGCGCCGATCCGTTCGACCACCACTGGGACGCTGCCGACCGCGCCGCCGCCACCGTCAACACTGGCCGCAAGCGCGACGCATAAACGCCCAAGCTTAGTCACGTGAAAACTGCAGGGGGTGGGGGGGGGGGGCTGCAGGTGTGTGTTCCTTTGTGCTATGGAGCAGAACTCTTCGGCGTTGGCATCCACGCGCGAGACGGCGGGCGCAGGGTGCTGTGGGCGGCAGCAGTGTTTCTGCCGCAACGCCTCGTTCTCGGACCGCCCACTTCCCCGCGGCGAGACGGGGGCAGGAATGGCAGGGGCGGGAGATCGGAGGCGTACGGAACAGAGCAAGAGGGAGCTGCCGGTCAGCGAGGTGCGGGACGAGGGAGTGGGAGCGCAGTACAGATGCGCGCGCCGGCTTCGCGCCGCGGCGGGGGGGCGTGGCGGGAGAGCGAGACATGCATCGAGTCCAAAGACTCGCGCACGTCCCGCATGCTCAGGCTCGCTGCTCGTCCTCGGCATGCGAGGACGGTGGACAGCGGCCGTCAGGGCGGCCACGCCCGGACGCTGCGGCTACGGGCAGAGGTCGGAGACCGATGAGGGCTGCGGGAGGAGGCAGAAAAACTGTTGAAAACTAATCGCGGAAGCAAAGGTCGCGCGGAAGGTTGTAGTCAGCGGCAGCGGCCGAAGACGACGAGCCTGACGACGAGCCCGAGGATCCGGACGACGACGACGGCGACGAGCAGCCGGACGGCTTGGTGCCCGTGTACGCGTCGCAGATCTCGCGGATGAGCGAGCCCTGCTTGGGCTTGCCGTTGATGGTAATCCACGGGGTGTACTGATGCGGCGGGTTGAGCGAGTTGGTGGCGCGGGCCGCGTCGTTGATCAGCTGGTTGCCGAGCGAGCCCTCGATGCACGACTCGATAGGCGCCGTCTCGATGGCCGGCGAGTTCTCCGACGCGCACTTCTTCCAGTTGGCGTACGGTGTACCGGACTCCATGCAAACCAGCGCCTGGACCCAGGTTGTCGGCTTGGGGTTGAGGTGCATGAGGCAAGCCTCGATCTTGTTGCCCAGGCACTCGTTCGGCCCGTGCTGGCACTCGACGTTGGGCTCGTAGCCGCGCGCGTTACCGTACGGATACTAGGGCAGGGAGCTGTGAGTTGGAGAGAAAGCAAGAGAGAGAGAGAGAGGAAAGGAGGGGGGGGAGAGCAACATACGTAGGTAAAGTTAGCGATAGCGAGCACGTCCGCGGTGTGGAGGAGCGCCTTGACGCCAGTCTGCCATTCCTGCTGGCATCCCGGTCCTGAATACATCCATACCGAAAGGGCCATTCTCTGTAAGTATACACATCGATCCATGGCTCATGCCTATCCCCATCCCCACCAAGTGCCGAGCATGGGCAAGCAAAGGCCACAATCGCCCAAAGGTCGCAAAAAAAGGTCCGAGGAAAAAGCGACCATTGCCCGAACGTGCCGCACCTGTGGCGGGTCACGCGCAGCCAGCCAGCAGCGCGGCGAGAGGAGGGGGAGGGGGAGGGGGGGGGGGGGGGGGGGGGTGGGGGGGGGAGGAGGGGA